AATTGAGTGCACAGCAACTGTTTGGTACTCTGGCTCAGAGACTTCAGCCAGATGAAGGTAGCTGTGATGCCATAATTTAGTAAATTTCAGTACAAAGTCACCCTTATGAATAAGGCAGAAATAAAACTCCTGTTAATGAATGCCCAGGAAAACTTTTAAAATGTCCCCCTACAGGCTTTTCTGTGTTGCCCTCCTTACTTTTGACTTTGTGACCATTTGTTTGTTTTATGCACATGGTATGTATATTTGCAGAACTTAAAGTGACTGTTCTAAAAGTGAATTTAAATACAGGACACAGCAGGAGACCACTGAGATACCACTATAACCACTGGCCAACTCCCACCTTTTTCAGGGTTTAGCCCAGCCCAGGGGCATTGCTAGGGGGAATCCCAAGGGTTCCCAGCCCCCCCTAAATTTCTGAGGAGCCCCTTCCTAAACATGGCTCCGCCTCCATAGATAGTTACAATGGCTTGTGATGTCACTGGCTCCTCCCTGTGATGTCACTGGGCCTCAGTTCATTTAAGGACCTAACATAGCAAATGCCTCTGGCTCAGCTTCAGCCCCCCCCCCCCCCAGGGAAATTGGAAAGTCTGTGCCCTTGCTTCCTGGCTTTCTCATATATAATTAAAAGATAACCCCCCCAGGCAGCAAGAGCAGGGAGGGAGAAAGAGGAAGGGCTACTGGGCCTTGCCTGGTTGCAAGCACTTTTCATTTTAAACTTCAAAGGGCTTCCCGTTAATGGCCCTTTAAAGGGCTGGTATAGCTCAGACCAGTGAGGGAGGTTCCCTTCTCCGTACCTACTCCTGTCTACCTGACAGGATTCCTAATTTTTATACTATCAGGATTGGTAATAACAGAATTGGGGATACTGATACTTTCCAGGGTTGGTGAGGCTGGAACAGTACTGGATATTATCAGCCAGAGCCAATCCCTGAGATATCAGGCATTTTATCAGGTTTGTAATATCCAACTGTCTCCACTGAAAAGTATCTTTAAAAAACGTACCTCCTTATTTTCCACCTTTGATAAGTATTGAAGGAAATTCCTATAATGTGACATGTTATCAAAATATCCTAAGATTTTTTTTACTGTGATTGTTGCTCTATATGTTTAAGTAATTATTTGATATTGTAGTCCATTGACTGAGGTTGGCATCTGCCATTCTGCCAAAAGTATTCCATGCACGGGTAGTTGGACTGCTCTGGGCTTCAAAGGAGCACATGTCAGGATTAAGAACCCTCCTCCGTCATTGGTGTTGTGCAATGCCAGGTCCATTAACAACAAAGCCAAAGTCTTGCGAGACTTCGTGCAGGAACAGCAAGTAGACCTGGCATGCGTGACCGAGACCTGGGTGAAAGAGGGTGAGACAGTTGCACTCACCCAACTCACCCCTCCGGGGTTCTCGGTCCTTCACCAATCACGGACTAGTGGGCGGGGGGAGGAGTGGCGCTTTTCATTTGGGAGGCTTACTCCTTCAGGGTGCTCCCGCAGGTAGAGATCGCGGGCATAGTGTGTGTCGGCGCGATGCTGGAGGCTGAGGAGAGTTTGGCCATTTGGTTGGTGTACCGACCACCTAACGCACTGGCAAATAGCCTGCCATCCCTGCTGAAGGCCGTATCAGGCTGGGCGCTGGAGCACCCGAGGCTGCTTGTCTTGGGGGACTTCAACGTCCATGCTGAGGACGCGGCCTCCAGCCGGGCTATGGATCTGGTGTTGTCCATGGCGGCACTGGGACTCTCTCAGTTCGTTTCGGCTCCCACGCATCGGGCCGGTCACACGCTCGATTTGATCTTTGCGGCAGGAGTGACGGTGGACCGGATCACTGCTTCGGCAGTGCCATGGTCGGATCACCATGCCCTGAAGGCCCGTCTGAATGTCCCACCCTGACCCTGTTTAGGTGGCGAGCTGATTTTGGCTCGCCCGCGGAACCAAATGGACCCTATGCGGCTCCAAACGGCTCTGCGGGATCCGAGACCCCCTGGACGCTCATTGGATGAGCTGGTGGAGGATTGGAATAGCCGACTCTCCTCAGCCATCCACGAGATCGCTCCCAGGCACCCTCTCCGCACTCTTGTTAGGCAAGCGCCCTGGTATACCCAGGAGTTGCGCTCGCTGAAGCGGGAACTGAGACGGCTAGAGAGACGGTGGCGCCGTGCTCATGACGAAGTGTCCAGAACATCCTACAGGACGCTTATGAATTCCTATGTGATGGCGGTCAGGGCTGCAAAGAGGGATTTCTATGCGGCCTCGATTGCGTCTGCTAGCTCACGCCCGGCCCAATTATTTAGTGTGATTCGGTCTCTGACATCCTTGCCCCAGGGCAGACAAAATATTAGGGAATTGGACATTGGCTGTGAGGCTTTCGCGAGCTTTTTCGCAGACAAAGTCTTGGCACTCCGTCGTGCCCCCCCCGCCACACTTGATATAGTTAGGGAACTTGAGGCCCCTTGTACGTCTTTGGAGACGGGTTTAGTATGTTTTGACCCACTCAGCCTGGAGGAAGTGGACAGGTTGTTCATGGCTGTGCGCCCAACCACATGCAACCTTGATCCGTGCCCCTCTTGGCTGGTTAAAGCTGGCCGTGAGGGGTTTCGAGGAGCTCTATGGGAGATTGTGAACAAGTCCCTCGCCGAGGGGCGGTTCCCGGGAGCACTCAAGGAACCGATGGTCCGCCCTCTTTTGAAATAACCATCGTTGGACCCGGCCGAATTGGCCAACTATAGGCCGGTGTCCAATTTGCCTTTTTTAGGCAAACTTATTGAGAGGGCGGTGGCAGCACAGCTACAGGGCTACCTGGATGAGGCTTCCATCCTCGATCCCTTCCAGTCCGGCTTTCGCCCGGGTCACGGGACGGAGACGGTACTGGTCGCACTGACTGACGACCTCCGTAGGCATCTGGATCAGGACGGCGTGGCGGCACTGGTGCTGTTGGACCTGTCGGCGGCGTTCGACACGGTCGACCACCAGTTGCTGGCCCGCCGCCTTGCCGATGTGGGGATTCAGGGGCTGGCCCTTCAATGGCTTACCTCTTTTCTCCAAGGTCGGGGACAGAGGGTGGCGGTGGGGGGGCAGCGGTCCCGGAGGTGCTCCCTTGAATGTGGAGTGCCTCAGGGCGCGGTGCTGTCCCCGATGTTGTATGTTGTTTAACATCTACATGCGCCCCCTTGCCCAGATTGCCCGGAGGTGTGGGCTGGGGTGTTATCAGTATGCCGATGACACCCAGCTCTATCTGATGTTGGACGGTCAGTCGGACTCTGGTCCCGTTGACCTTTTGCGGGCATTGCAAGCCGTGGCTGGGTGGCTCAGACTGAGTTGGTTGAAACTAAACCCGGCAAGGACGGAGGTCCTGGGCCTGGGTCGAATCGGCCGGGAGTTGGGACACCCTCTCCTGACCTTCGGCGGGACACCATTGGTGCCTACGTGGGAAGTTAGGAGTTTGGGTGTGCTCCTGGACTCCTCTTTAACGATGGAGGCCCAGGTAGCAGCCACCGCCAGGTCAGCCTTTTACCATCTGCGGCTGGCTAGGCAGTTGGTTCCCTATCTCGGCCGAGAAGACCTGGCCACTGTGATCCATGCGACGGTCACCTCGAGGCTGGACTACTGTAACGCTCTCTACTTGGGGCTGCCTTTGTCGCAAATCTGGAAGCTGCAGCTAGTGCAGAATGCTGCAGCGAGGCTGTTGATGGGTCTCTCCAGGCGAGACCACATCTGGCCGGTGCTGCATGCACTGCACTGGCTGCCTATAGCATACCGAATTCGCTTCAAAGTGCTGGTGCTTACCCTTAAAGCCCTGAATGGCCAGGGTCCGGCCTACCTAAGGGACCGCCTCTCCCCGTACATTCCCCCAAGAGCACTGCGATCGGGGGATTTCCATCGCCTGGATGTTCCAGGCCCCCGGGAAGTGAAGTTGGCCCAAACCAGGGCTAGGGCGTTTTTGGTGGCGGCTCCCACCTGGTGGAATGAGCTCCTGGAGGAGATCCAGGCCCTGCGGGACCTAGCACAGTTCCGCAGGGCCTGCAAGACGGAGCTCTTCCGCCAGGCCTTTGAGGGGGAGCCGCCGCCGCCACTATGCCACCAATGATATTCCAACCATCTACCCCATATGTAGGGGTAGATGCCGCCCAATAGAGCTGGGGGAACATTCTTCCTGGCACTTCCGCTGTGAAGAACTTGGCCGCCAGTGTGGGACGTCGCCTATCATGGATTTTATGTAATTTATCTGAGCACCAAATTTTATGTTAAGATACAGTGTTTTATTATGTGTTGTTTGTATGTATATTTTTAACTTTGGCATGGCCGTCTGTGAGCCGCCCCGAGCTCAATATTGGATGGGGCGGGATATAAATCTAAAAAATAAATAAAATAAAATAAATCAAAGAGAACTACACCTGGAGCTGGGGCTTAGTTTTTTTTTTTTATGCCTGTTCCCATTTCTATATATGAGCCACTTAAAGTGACTAAAGCTGCAATCTTAAACACACTGTAGACTCAGTGGGATTAACCTCTGAGTATACATGCTTCCTGCCAACCTAGCAGTTCGAAAGCAAGAAATTGCAAGTAGATAGGTACCACTTCGGTGGGAACGTAACAGCGTTCCGTGCGCCTTGGTGTTTAGTCATGCCGGCCACATGGCCACAGAAATGTCTTCGGACAGCGCCGACTCTTCAGCTTTGAGACGGAGATGAGCACCGCAACCCTAGAGTCAGATTCGACTGGCTTTCGAACAAGGGAACCTTTACCTTTATACATGCTAAAGAGATTGTACTGTTATTCACTTTCAGTAAAGCTGCTTTTGCTTTTGCAACTTCTATCACAGCACTGGCTGTTTAACAGTTGGAATAATAAACCTGAAACAAGTTAATGAGATGTCTTTGCTTAGCACAAGTTCTGTTCAATAGCTTTGTAAATGCTTGAATTTGCTCCATAATATCGTAATGGTAACTTTCACACACCCTGTTTTTTGCATGCCTGTTCCTAATTCCGTTTTTCATTTTTTAAAGGTTTTTCTCAAAAGTGATCGAGTTGCCAGAATGGTCCACAGTGGAGGATGTTCTGCGAACGACTTTAGAGATGTCTTTAAGAAGAACATAGAAAAGCGGGTCCGAAGCTTGCCTGAAATTGATGGATTAAGTAAAGAGACTGTGCTCAGTTCTTGGATAGCTAAATATGATGCCATTTACCGAGGAGAAGAGGACTTGTATAAACAGTCGAACCGGATGGCTTTAAGTGCTGTATCGGAACTTATTTTGAGCAAAGAACAGCTTTACGAAATGTTTCAGCAGATTCTCAGCATCAAGAAACTGGAGCACCAGTTGATCTACAATGCTTGCCAAGTAAGGATCTCCCCTCCATTCTGTCACATCCCTGGAGTGTCCCTTCCTTGCTCCTTGTTAGATTGCCTTGTTGATCAAACCTCGTCTGTACATTGTATTTCATGGATGCAAGCCATTTTAGCTAGAACATTTTGGCTTCTCTTGTGGAATAGGTGTTGGACAGCAGAATTTGAAAGTGTCTCAGTAAAAAAACAAGCAGGAGTGTTGTGGCATATTAAAGAGTAGCAAAATTTTATTCTGATGTACTTTTATGTACTAGAGGTAACAAAACTTATGCTGGGATAAAATTGTATTATTGTTTCTGCTGCCACCAGAGCAGGTGATCCGTGTCCTAAGAGCAGAGGTGCTCATTACTGGTGAGAAGGCAACTGAATTTATGGAACTCTGTATGCACTTCAGGGGGGAAAAGATTTTCAAAGAAGGACTGATGCATAACAACAGTGAGTTGGAACATATTAGCAAGCTCCATAGTATGGAATGCCAACAGTAGAAACTAGGTGTAACTTTTATTCAGTGATGGCCCCAGGTTTTTTCGCCCACTAGGCAAGTATACATTCTGGGGCCTCCCCCATGCGGGACGGGGGCGGGTGCTGGAGCCGCAGCGGGCAGGCTGAGGGGGTGAGCGGCAAATGCATGCAGGAGGCAAGATCGCTTGAGGGGAGGGGGAGGGGCCTGTGCCAGGCTGAAAAAGGAGCTCCAAAGAGTCCACGGCGGCAAGGGTGGCAGAGGGTGAGCGGCACTTTCCCGTCGTCCCAGGCTGTTCCCCGCGCCTGTCCCCCCCGCCTCCTTCTCTGTCTGGGGGACTGCAAAGAGGGGAGTTTCTTGCCAGGGATGGAGCAAGAAGCCAGCAAGGGAGGCTTCCTGTGTGGGGCGAAGAGGAGACAAGGCCAGCCAGAATGGCGCCCTTGTTGAGCCATCACCCTAGGTGACAGTCTAAAATTTAACAATAACAGGTCGGCCTTGTTTCTATTTGATGTTGTTAAGAAAGATAAAATTAATTTGGCTTTGTTGTTTTAGATGCTGAAAAGGCATTTGATAGAGTGGAACATAGTTTTCTGATACAATGTCTCATAGCATTTGGTTTTGGAAATAATTTTTTTAAATGGGCAAACTTGTGTTTTGCTAAAATTAGCAAAAACAGGATTCTATCTTCACAAATAGATATTACTAGAGGTGTATGACAAGGATGTTCTCTCTCTGCTCTCCTGTTTACTCTCTCCTTAGAATCACTAGAAATTTCAGTGAGAGAAGAACCAAAAATCCATGGCATTAAAATAGGAGCAATCCAATATAAAATTGGTCTCTACGCAGATAATATCCACTAGAAAATCTTATTGTACAATATGGGAGTGTTTCCAGGTATAAATGTAATCCAGATAAATCAGAGATATGATTACTGACCAAATTAGGTATCCTGGTATCGTTAAATAAGAATAATGATGGATTTTTAAAGATCAATTGCGATCCAGTTATACCCGAATTTTTTTTTTAAAAAAATTAACTTTGGGAAACTTTAAATTTATCTTTCCTTAGACATATAAACATGATAAAAATGGTGATTCGTCCTAAATTAATTTTTTTATTTGCTAAACTCGTGGCTGAAATTTCAGAAAAGATGTTAAAAGAGTGGCAGCTATTATTAAATGTCTTCATTTGGGATAAAAAGAAACCTAGGATAGTTTAAAAGAATTATTTTGAGATTTTAACAAGGTTATGGCAATAATCTTATTAAAATTAATAATTTATACAGTAGTCAAATGTAGGCTTGTTCACAACTTTAATGCTATTAGCTTTTTCCGCTCACAAGGCAGAATTTCTGCTCACAACACTGTGGAGCTTAGAGGGAATATTGGCTGATATGCTGGATATGTTAACATTGGAGACCATTTTATTGAGGGAAAATAATTAGCACATTCAGGCAGTCACAATTAATTATTTAATTTATAGTCTGAGACTCAAAGTAAGTTAAACAGTTAAACAGTTAAAACTGCAACCAGAGCAGTATAAGGCATGTAATTAACAATGGAATAAAATGGGATTACGAAGAATGCAGCACACTTAAGACAGTATACTAAGTGAAACAGTATAGAATATACAAACAGTGAAATAAAACTAGATTACAAAATTAGAGAAACATTGCAACAGTATGCTGTATCCAGTGAATAAAGCCATTAAAAACCCTATCTAAATTTCATAGACATTTTAGTTATGATCCTATTTCCTTTATAAAAAGTGTCTCCTGAATAGTTCTGTTTTATTCAGTCTCTGTAATGAAAGAAGTGTTGAAGCTTTCCTGCCCTTGTCAGGCAGGCCTTTCCAGCAGGTTAGGGTTTCCAGGCCTCAGATTGGGGGGGGGGGGGGGGAGATCCCCTGATCTCTCAGGCTCCTGCCCGCTGCCGACCAGCTGGCTGGTGGGGGAAGCCCCACCCCCAAGAGCCATGAACCAGTGTGACATCCTCGACATGATGACATCATGTGGCAGTGACGTCATCACACCAGGGACGTTGTGTGGCGATGCTCTGGTATTTTGGGCAAAACTCTGTCTTTTCCATAGAGTTTTGCCCAAAATACCAGAGCGTTGCCACGCATCATTCCCAGTGTGATGATGTCACTTCTGCAAGATATCATCATCTTGGGGGAATCAACCTGCCCCCCCCCCACTCTTGGAAGCTCCCTCCTGTCCCCCACCAACAAGGAGGTAAGACCTGGCAACCCTACACCAGGTGCAAGCCACAACAGAGAATTCTTGGGTACTGGCAGTTGTGATCTTACCTATTTGCAGGGTGAGGTGGAGCAACGGTATCAATATCAGGATACTCACATTAAGAAAATATTCCAAATGCCCACATATTGTACAATGTGTATCACACAAAAGGGGGTAAGAAACCAAAAAGAGGGGGAGCAGGACCAGTTTCAGTCAAAGATTCAGCTCCCAAGGCAGGGTCCAAATATCTAGGCAACTAATAATTCAAAAGACTAATCCAAAGAGGAAAGCGGCATGGATGTTTGATGCATGTCAGCAGTTTCCCTGCACTTTCAGCATTGAGGTATTTCTGAGCAGAGAGCAGCTAGGTTTGGAACCCTAATCTGGCCTCTGTTATAAAGTTAGTACTGAAGGCATCCAAATCCTTTGTACTATTGACTAATTACTGAGGGTTCTTGATTAATATTCTGGGGGCTGGATAACGATAGAGGGGTTTTCCCCTTCTCTGTGGCTGCTTTTCTCTCCCTACACCTTTAGTAATATGACATTATGGAGAATTACACACCATCTTTGCCCCTTCTGTGCTGCATCTCAGCCGGTGTATTCTTGGACTGAAACTCAAGTAATGGGCCTTGTAACTGGCAGAGAAAAGCTGATCTCCCCCCCCCCCAATGGAGGGGGTGTGAGGAAGGCCAATATCAGTTCATTTTCACTTAAATTGTTCACTGAACTGTTAGAACCTTTGACCTTCCTCACTATCTAGGATGTGTAACTGCTATTTTTGTTGATTTATGATTGAACTCAGGCATATCTTTTCTGCATCAACTCCTCCCTTTCCCCCTTTCATTAAGATTTACACTTGAAGGGCTCATAGTATAATCCATACCAAGTTTTGGCTCCTCCCCCAACTAGGGTTCTCAGGCAATGTCTGTCAACTGGCAGGAGGATAGGGAGTGGGCAGAATCCCAGGAGAAAAATTAAAAAGAAAAATAAGGCTTTGGTTACTTACTGGAAGTTCTAACCACAGAGTTTCTGGCAATTCCTATAGCTACCCAAAAGTGATGGGATAGCTCTGGCAGTCATTACTGTAGAGTTTCTGGAGATAGCGAGAGCTACACTTATCTTGTTAGGAACTCTATGGTAGAAATTTCCAGTAATTAGCCACGGCCTTGTTTTTCTTTTTAATTTTTCTCCCCAGGATGATTTAGGGTTACCAGCCACCAAGTCTGGGTGGGTTTCCCCCCACTTTTGGGGACTCAAGTGCACCACAGCCGGCTGGCCAGCAGGGGAAGTTCAGCTGATCAGCGGGGAGCACATGGCCCACTGATCAGCTGGAGGGCCCTTTAAATCTTTCAGCAGGGAGGGGGAGGGGCTGTTACTTCCTGCAGTTCCACTTGTAAAAAGACCCTTTAAAGGGTGGGTTTTTTTTTTAGCAGAGTGGGGGCCATGGCACATGGTGCTGATTTCCCAGCAGTGTGTGGGACGGCAGTGTGTGGGCCTGAATCCCAAGTGGTGAATCGCCACTGGGAAATCAGCTCCGCAGCCCCCACCCTGCTCGTAAAAAGACCCTTTAGAGGATCTTTTTGTGAGTGGGGAGAAGGCCATGGTACGCAGGGCTGATTTCCCAGCAGTGAGTGGTGTGGTGGTGTGTGGGCCTGAATCCCAAGTGGCAAATCGCCACTGGGAAATTAGTCTCTCATCCCCCCACCCTGCTTGCAAAAAAAAAAACCCTTTAAAGGGTCTTTTTGTGAATTGAGCTGCAGCTGGCGACTGCCCCTCTCCCTCCCTGCTGAAAGATTTAAAGGGCCCTCCAGCTGATTGGCGGGCCACGTGCTCCCCACCAATCAGCTGAAGCCCTTTAAATCTCTGCAGGAGGGGAAAGAGAGAGGGGTGGCTGTGGTTTGGGGGTGAGGCTTGCAGGTGGGGGTTGGGAATGTCCCTGCTTACCCCCGGAATGCCCTCTAAATTCCCCCACCAGAAGCATGAGGGGACCTAGCAACCCTAGGATGATTGCACCCCCTTCCCTTTGGCCCCAGTTTCTGCCTGTCAATCAGCTGTGTATTGGTGGACAAGGGACTGCAGTTGGCTGGAGATCTCCTGCGGTGAGAAAGCAAATAGGAACCCTTCCCTCAACCTGCCCAGTTAAAAATTCCCCAGTATAGTTTTCTATCACATATCTATCTATAATGAAGTGGTCTGTGACTCATATAAATGGCTGTGTCTCCCACTTAGCTCCTTTGTGGGACTAAGTTTTCCCTCATCTGAATAGAATGCCACAGAGGTCACCCTCTAAAGC